GCATATTCTGTTACACCAAATACACATAATAATGATATTTAAAAAAGCATCATATGACCCCTTTAAGATATTTTGGTCCGCCAAGTATTGTGTGACAACCCAAAAGCAAATATGTCCTGTGCTGAGAATTTCAGTACATGCTCACTTGTCACATACAAATTTAATACCATCCTCCATGACATGAAATTAGCATCTTTTGACACCTTTGATCATTATGCTGGTACATGCTGTGGAGAAAACCTGCTTGTGGTCCTTTGACACAGGACTCTTAGTGAACAGCATCCTGTGAGTTACTATTCTCTGCCATGCTTTGCACAGGTAGGGCTTGTCAAAGTCTGTAGCACTACCAGCTGACCTCCACCTGCGAGATGATGTTGATAAGGGGCCGGGCACTTCTGACACCCCTGGATCAGATCCATAGTTCCTCATTATGGCATGAGTGGTGGCGAAAATCACAATGCCATAGTTTCTGCGGAGTCTATCCAGCAACTCGGCACACTTTCTCAGGTTAGCCTCCTGACAAACAGTGCTTTCACCACCATTGAATCTGTCCCCCCAGTAGAAGGAAGAGATGCTGTCGATGACCAGCAGGCCGAGGGAGGGCTGGCTGGAGAAAGTGTTTAACAGGTAGTGCAGGGTTAGGAGGAGCTGTACTGAGCAGTTGCAGTGTACTACAGACAGCCTGTGCAGACATAAACGTACCCTCTCCTCAGATTCATTTTCAGAGCCTTCACCCACCTTAGAGTCTTTGGCCAAACGTCCCTCCAGAACGCTCACTAAGCGCAGCATGTCAAAGTGGTAGTCCGTGTCAATGCAGACCACCGCCACCTCCAGACCTCCACTCTGGACTGGCATGATGCAGCGGCTGATGAGGTGGTACAAGGTTTCCGTCTTACCTGTGCCCTCCAAGCCATGAAACTCCACGACGTCACCTATATGGATGCAGAACTGAATTGAGATTTAGACTTTAATAGAGTGCTGCATGGATAACATATTTTTGTTGGCTAGAACCTGGAAATGAGTTAGCATTTTAGCACTTTTGATTTCATCGTCTTGAAGTCCATGTTTTTTGTTTTTAATGGGTTATTGATTAAATGACAGAAATAAGGTCTGTGGTTAACACACGCTTAAGATATTTTCACACATTATTCTAGAACATAAAATACATCAGTAATACCCCCTTCTAATTTTTTAAGGCTTTTACTACTTTTAAAGTGGCTAAATGGGACTATAGAGGTTGTCTGGAACATTATATGTCATCACACCCAACAAGAAAACTCATGTGTACACACTAGTCCACTTTCACAGCCTCGCTGCATTTATAATTGCACTTATGCAAACTATAACTTTCAGGGAAAATGTTTTTAAATAAAGACTAAAAGAGTTGTCGGAAGCTTAGCGATGGCAACACTGTAGTCATGTGACCGTGGTGTCTTTTGTTTATAGCCTATGTTTAACTTTTTATTTCTGCAGACAGGATTTAGGCTTCAAATTTTATGTACGTTTTTGTTGAGGGAACCAGGTTGATGCTAACTTCCGGCCCAGGTTGGCCTACAAATATACGTCATCACTGAAGTGCTCTATTCAATTGCTAATTTGAATTAACATAGTAAACGGGATGAAGAATTGTGATGTATATTTGAATTTAACGCTTAGCAGTGTTAATTTTACATCAGTAGTGGCACCAAATGGTACTGCAAAAATTGTTGTTTTCAAAAAAAGTTTTGGAAACACTCCTCCATATACCATTGGCTAGGTAGATGTGTACAGATCTCAAGCTATAATACTTAAACGATAAAAATAAATAAATAAAATAAAAAATTATCAACAGAGTCAGTGTTCTTACTTTTCATCTTATAAATGGCTTATTTATAGTTGCCTCGGCATAATAAGTTGGGGAAATAAGAAAATATTGAAAAAATAATCAAGCAAGTACAATTAAAATGCAATGAAAATCTAAGACTGTTGTAAGTGTAGTTTTTTTCCCCAGTATGTATTAACCATAACATTCACATTTTTCTGACCGTAACAACCAGACAAAAAGTTAAACGCGAGTAGATATCATTTTGCAACCAATTTATTTGCAATGTTCGCTAACATTAAAGGATGCAAGACATACTTAGCTTACTGTTTTTACATCGAACTGAATGAAAATAGCTTAATTAACCTAAGAACAACTTGTGGATTGATGTGAACGCCAGCAGGAATAATGTTCAGAATGAGTGTGAATTAAACATCTCCGATGACGTTCATTGCAATGTTTTTTATCGAGTTACAAGAAAAGGTAGTAAACGGATTTAATTGCGTACAGTAACTGATTTTATGTGATACGCTGTCATGGCATTCGACTCCTCACACGTGCAGAAGTGGGCAGCACTAGACTGAGAGCTGGCATCTGCATTATAAAAAGAAAAAAAAACTTTAAAGATTAAAAAACGAAGTTATGGTGTTATGTCTTTGCACGGCAGCACTGCTGTCACCATAGACGGGCGAGGTTTCAGCAACTAGCGCCTCAGCTTCACCCACGTCCCGCCTTTTTGCCCATTTTCGATTATCCGGGAGTGACGCGCGGTGATGCGCTGCCAAGATGGCGGCGGACGGCTCTGCCCACTTTAGGCTTAAAAAATGCTCTTCTGAAACCTACGAGTGACGTCACGGACACTACGTCCATGGTTTTTTACAGTCTATGAATTAATCACATGTAACATTAAAATTTGTAATCATAAATATATTTTCACACTGAATCTCCAAATTAAAACAACTTAAAGATGGTATTTTAGATTGAAGTTCAATCTCTGTTTAATTCATGCACGGTCAGTTTGATTTTACTTCACCTTGACCTGGACCACCGTCGACAGGAAATATATTGGGTTCAATGTCCCTCAAAGACTTTCGCCCTTCAAGTCTGCTTACCAACTAGAAAAGCACAAACACTGATGTTTATTGCAAGCAAGGTATAGCAAATGGCACGCCAGTACTATCAATTGTACGATTCCACGCAAATATAATGCATGAAAACGCCTGAACCTCGATTTGTACTTCCACATAAACTAAGATTCAGTTAAAATCTGCAATGATCATCTGAATGAAACTATTTTAATGTAAATCTACAGGAATAGCCCATGCCTTTTAGCGGGTCATTATGCAAGCATTCGTTTAAATGTATCAAGTCATTGTAAGTTTACTTAAAGCATTAGTGTGAAATTATTTTTCAGATGAACCTGTGCACCATTCTGAGCCATTCTAACTCGTGCTGTAATTTCGTTGGTTTTCGCGCAATTATTTCAGAATTCCATTTCCTGGTAAATAAGCGTTCGACTACACTTCAAAACAAAAGTCCTACAGTGTCCAAAAAGGTCATATTGAAACCACAACAACACATGTATTCAAATTTCAAATTTTATTTTATATTTGGCGTATTTTATAGAATCTGACATCATTTATTTAGAGATGGAGTTAGGGTGTGCAACTAGTCTTTTGCTTTTCTTCTGGAATTTCATGTTAAATGCTAATTATATTAGCCACTTATTCACATAAAGAGATTATAGTAGGAAAAAAAACAGTGTGCATTGATGTAAAACTTTTAAAAGTGAGACATAGAATTACTAATAAACATAATTGTGAATAACATCATGAAATAATACCAAAAACTAGTGAGTAGCTATCAATAATAAGACAGTAAAGATACATGTATACAGCATCACTTTAATACACTAGGACTACAAATGTTTACAACTCATTCTAAATAAATTATATAGGCTAATGTAAAAGTAGGACCGACTGCCATCTAGAGTTTACCCTATAAAGGGCATAAATGGACTTTGGTATAACTCGATTTCAGCTTGCTTGTTTAATTTGTTTGTTTGTTTATTTAACATAATATTGCCAAATAAACAATAGACGCAATAAAAGCAGTGACAAAGTAAAAAAATAAAACTGCCAGTAATCTTAATAATAATAATCAATCCCTATCCCAAAATTTTCCAACGTTCATTGATAACATATTTCATTTATATGACAAGATATATACGTCCATGGTTTTTAAACCTCATAAGCTACCTCAAAAAACAATCAGAGTTATGAGCTATTTCCAAATCGATTCACCATAATCTTGGACAGAATCAACACAAACCAATTTACAGATCTAGGTACGTCTGCCATTAAAGCTGAATCGTAAGTAAGTTAGGTTAAGAAAGTAAGTTATGATAATGCTCCACGCGCTCTGTGGTCTGTTTACAGGCACTTTGCCAGCTCATGAAATTACGGAGCCTACTATGGCAATTATTTAAGTAATGAATATTAATTACGCCATGTTGACGTTCCTTAGTAAACTTCTTCTTCTTCTTCTTCTTTTGATTTAATGGCGAGTTGCGAACCAACTTCAAAGGTGCATATCCTTAGTAACCTTCCAGTAATGAACGTTTCATATGTGTGGCGGAGAAGGCTTGGCTCATAATTATTAACTAAGTCATGACGTCTCTCGGCTACCTTCGTTTGGCGAAGACTTGGCTTATGAATATTAATAAACTCGCCTTCAGTAAACCACAGTAAAATTCCACAGTAAAATTCGTAATTTCGCTGTCAGCCCCCCTGGGCGTGCGGACCATGATGAGGCAGCGCGAGGGGATCCAGCGTGGGACAGGGTGAGTTTGTTTACTATCATGATTCATACTCCTCCAGTTTAATTTCTGCTGGACAGACTTGACATTAAAGCTTTGCTGTCAAGATGATAACAGATCTTTAAGCCACATATTGTATGTATTTGCTGTTGCAGACTATAACTTGACTAAATGCTTTGCCGCAGTATCATTATTTTGCATTTTATTATCATCTGTGGCAGATAACAGGTATGTCGTTATATGATTGCAATGAAAGTGAAGTGAAGTGACGAAGTGACGTGACATGTGGCCAAGTATGGTGTGTTTGAGGTAGAAAACATACCACATTTCTATAGGCTACTATTCCTGAACTTTATTAAAATGCTTCTAAAGGGCTGTAATCTGTTATGATTAGGGCCAGGTGCATAAATTCACAAATATGGAATAGGGATATACATAGCCGCGGGAACGTATTTTGATCTGGGGGGGGCTGAGAA